AACACTTGTTCAAACATCTAAATTCCTCTTTTAAAAATCATATCTACTCCTTAATATTATGGGTATTTTTTTCGGATTTGGATCTAAGAACGACCCTTACGGCATACGAATCCGCAACCCATCCACTTTTGCAACACACCCGTTATTAACAGTGGGCGTCAAGAAATCAAATTATACTTATGTCATGATGGAATTTTGATTTTTAAGCTCATGAAATAAAATTTGCATACTGGAGTCCTGGATTTCGCTCCTGATGCATGGATTATGACTTAGTAACACAGTTAAATTTCACTAGTACATTAATGCCTCGGTTTAAATGGAAAACAGAACTCTCTCCGTACTATGCCACTGGTGACACTGGTTTTTCTCAGTCCCACTCGAATAAACAATACAGTATTCTTCAACTTTATAATGATGTACATGTTAAATGCACACACTTTGCCATTGACATGCTAGGAGTGGTGCGTGTTGCCTGTTTAACGCATAAGTGGATGGGTTGCGGATTAAGATGTTTTAACAAGTGTTCCGCTTTCAGTGCACCTGACTCGAATATGGAGTAATTCATATTCAGCACGGTGCAGCATTTATTTGCGATTCAAAATTGGAACATACATCTCCTATTAATGTTTGCAATTTCACAAATCAGGCATACGTTTCGATTTCGAGGTGCACGATTTTCCACCTGTGTGTCGCCTAACTATACAGGGCTCCATTACAATGTCCATGCATGAATGTGTATATTTGCTACTATTTTCATCCATTCACCTCTGCTGCAGGAGCCTACTTTGTAGCTGGAAGAGTCGTTGATTCAGTGAGTTGAGCGAGTTAAAAATGAACACCCAAGCCTGGCAAAGATGCCAAGGTGTGATGTTACTATGCATTGTGTCGCAGTGGCCGTAGAAAGAGGCATTTCCGTGGCATATACAGCAGGAAATTGACTTGATGAATTGATGAAATGCCACCAATGACTGCAGTGAATGCAGTGCCAAACGCAGATGTGGGCATTGCACATTAGTGGGTTAGTGATTTAAGCACAATTTACCACCACTTGAGTACCGCTAGCCCACACCTTGGATGTATATCACCGCCTCCGACCATCGAACAGTAATTTTAGTTAAAAGGCCATGTATTGGCTGGGTTGAGCCAGCTGAGATTATTTTGCAAAGTGCGGGCTAATGAACTCGGTCCTTATAGTGTGGCACTAGTTGCCTTGTTCCATGGACAAAATCAGAGAAGGCCATGGAATGCTCTTCGTCCTGGCATCACTACATCAATGCCCAACCACAAGACCGATATTACACGGTATCGCTCACCCCATTTGTTTCTAATACAATCACGTAGACACTGAGATTTAGATATGGCGAAACACCTGTAATATGAAAGAGTGGTTATTTATTTTCAAAAGCGGCTCTTAGACATACGCGCAAGTGTCCCTGTTTCTGTGCGCCTGACTCGAATATGAAGCAGTGCATTGCAGAGAAATAAAGCGTTGGTCCAAATCGCGTGTTCTGAACATCTTTGCTTATTCGTTGGCATAATCAAGATGCTGCACAAAAACCGCTCTTCTCGAATGATTTGGCTAGAAGCGAGATTTGCTTCACCTATCGTGCAAGATAAATTGCTGTGTTGGCTGACGCTCCCCTCCGTCATTGCATTTTGAGTTTTCTCATTTAGCATGTGCTTCAAAGTGTAAAAATGCAGCATAATCTGCATCTCTTCACAAAATTGGTGCTTGCTGCTAAACTAATCTCGAAAGAACTATGAAAAATTCGTCAACATCAACGGTGCTGGCAGCTTCTACTTTACTTAGTGGCAGCTGCACAACACTAATTTGCAATTAGCATGTTAAGCATAAAAGCAGTGCTTTTTGTCGCAGTTCAATACTGCATTTCCTATTTAGCGCAACGTCAAGATCCTAGTGCGTGAGTCCTCTTCAAATCGCCTAGCTTGCATGTTCTGATAGCGACAACCTACTATTTCACTCAATGCTGAAAATGAGTAGCATCTAAGTTAACGACTCATTAAAACAATGCCTGATGTAATCGTGATTCACAAGGTCAGTTCCACACATAAATACGCGAGGCGTTTCTCGACCTCTTGGTTCATTTGCCACAATGTCATCCACACTGGGTGAGTTGTAATTTCGTATGAATCCGTAAATTTCGTTGTTTCTGTTCAATTGAAAAGATTCACTCTGCAAAGTCTGTGTTCAGTTCTCCTAGGCCTTGTCATCCTCATATCTGCTGCAACGTGTCAGCTACCTACAGATGCTGAACGAGACCACATTCTCGAGGCTCATCGCGAAGTGCGAGAACACGTGTTTCCTCCTGCCAGGAATATGCTATTAATGGTAATGTCTACACGTGACAAACTTGTGCCATTAAATTGCCCATTTAGCTATTGCTTTATTAGCCAACAAATGCCCCATATTTGATACTATTTCAACTGATTTCACTTGGGATGTCAATTGTGTCAATTCATGCGTGTTTGTGATTTGAATAGGAGTATTCAAAGGAAATGGAAATGCTGGCAGCATATTGGGCCGCTCATTGCATTTATGAGCATCCAGACAGAAGCCGTTATCCACAGTACCGTGAAGTTGGACAAAACCTTGCGCTTACTGCTGGTTTCAAGCCATCTCTCACAGAAAGCGTGTGTGTTTATAAGACCGAATCTCGCTTTTACAAATTTGCTAATAATTCGTGCAGTCATGTTTGTGGTCACTACACTCAGGTGAGCAAAATACTGTGTGTAAGCATTGTTAATGCCATTTGATATCATTTCACATGTCCACTCTCAAATGAAATTATCCTCTCGAATGCTTAAGCATGTTAATGAATCTTTGCAAATTAGTGACAATGCATTTCCATGGAACATTATTGGCATTATTCATGCTTGAACAGCTGGTGTGGGCCACCTCCATTCAAGTGGGCTGTGCCATGCGGCAGTGTGATGACCTCAGACCTCACTGGCCCAATCCACAATATCTAACAGTCTGTCAGTACAAGCCTCCGTATGTCGCATGTGTCCACATTTACCCATCAACACGACTTTGCTGCTTTTCGTAACGCTTATTTGTCGTTCCTCTAGAGGAAATTACGTTGGACGAAAGCCGTATATCCGTGGACGCAGCTGCAGCAAATGCCCTAGGGGCTATTTGTGCTACCGCAATCAGTGTGCAAGTGTGTCTCAAATGAGGAAAATATACTCGAAAGGCAGTGCCGACAAATCTGTGCCAGAATGCAAGCCAGAGAGCTTCTATTCGGCTATTCAATACAGTTCGTAGGAAGACTTCCTCGTGAAGCATCGCGTTACCCATTGTTGCACTCACTTCTCCCAGCTTCATATCAGCTTCATATTACCTTCGATGATAATCATGGCATCAATAAAGCTCCGTTTTCCCATCACAGCTTTGTTTTATAGTGAACTATCATTCAACTCTATGCATGATTGTTGACATGCGAGGATTACCACTATGCCTACTAGTTAACGGGGCGTTACTAAGAGAGTGGAAGATGCATTGGCCGAAAGCAAGGGAAAGCGGTTGCAGCAGTATACACAGTTGGGGTATTTGCTAACGTTGCAAAAAGAGAAGGCGTTTGCCTTGCTTGAACATTTACCCGAATGAGGCAGGAGTCAATATTTTCGGCTTTCTTCTCATTGGCACAGCAACCCATTTAGCTCAATCACTTCAACTTTCCATTGAACCTCTTGTACATCCGCGATAGTTTGAGCATCACGAACTCAATATCTACAGCCAAACTAAACAGAGCTGCAGTTACTGTGGCATGATATACGCTGCGCTATTTGTGTAACGTTGTACACGTAACCAATGAAGGCTTTCTGCTCCACTTCACTTAATGTAGTAGGTAGCAGTGACTTGCATGTACTTTCTGCTGCAAGTCGAAGGATTGCCAAGTGCCCCACCTCTGCTGCACATGCTTTATGCAATGGCTAAGACAAATCTAGCCTGTAACATTCTCGCTTTTGTTGTCCAACTGTATTCCCATCAAGTGGAGGAGATGATCGTAAAAGTGAGGATGGTGAAGTTTCGTCAACTGCATGCGGGTGATGAAAATAATGCTAAAGTTTAGGTGGTATGCCTATCCCTAAATCCTAATAGAAGATGAAAGCATCTCATGACACCAGTTGAACACATGCTCCTCTTTCATTTCGCGATCGACACCAAACTTCAGCCTACCATCGACGGTGCAATGAATATTTATTCTTCTCCTGTTTGAAATGGCAAGACTTTGTTGAAAGCAATGAATTTCAATTACTTTTGTAGGTTTTTCTTTTTTAGCTTTTTATCTTTACGACTTTATTACGTATTTACACAAATGTGACTTACAACCAATAATTTGGGATCGTCACTTTTTTAAATCAAACTAACCAAGTCGAACTTGTTTTAACAAAGGAGCCGTACCTAGTAGCTGCCTAGATGGTGACTAACCTCCGTCTGCTAGTGTGCCCTAGTACAATTTGTAGAAACCTATCTTGATTTCGTGAGTAATTTTTGTGCTCGAAGGTGTACTTAATCCTCCTATTCATGATATACTTTGATGAGGAGTCACAGTCGATCGGCCATTCTGCTGAAAAGTGAGTACGGGGTAATCGGCTCACTAGAAAGATGCTGTTTGAGCATTCTGTCTACACGGCCAAGAGAATGGAGGATCGCAACCTTCCCAACCACCCCAACATGTGATCCTGTTGAGCTCACACCAGTGGTTGTCACGCACAGTGACTTGGATGCAAAGTATTTTGCTGACCAGTGTGGGTCCCAGGATATGTATATTTTATTGAGTATCAATGAAACACTTGGCATGTTTACAAACTGGATTTTCGAAACTAGGATCGAATTGGGCGCAAGTCGTTAGCATTATAATTAAATGGGTTTTTCACTAAAGTACTTCAATATTATGGCCCATAATTGACAATTATATGTGGAATTCTATTGCTGCTTAATTCCCATCTGTTTGATTTCCTTGTCGTGCATTATTTGCATGCAGGCAAAATTTTGCGGGTGCACTGAGTACGTATATCTTCGGTTGTGTTTCGTTATATATATTTAAGGAATTTTATCGAAACAGAGCACAAATTCACGTAGAAGCTGTAATAAAATGAAAGGTCCTTCCCTCATTTTTTGGCGTTGGAATGCCTTTGGTGACTTGAATTAAATCAAATGTCCAACAGAATACCGGCTTAGAAAAGAGTAATGGCAGATGTGTGATTGTAATGCCTATGTCGCTTAGGCAGTTGAAGAGCATTTGGCTTTATTGCATTGGCACTTAGGTAGTTAATTTGATCTACTACATTGCACTCACTCCTTAAATAAACTACAATTTGATGACGCTTAACATGCTGCAGATGGTGATGTCGTATCTGCACACATATTCGGTTGACTGTGACCAAATTTGCCCAGCGTGGATTTGTTTCGGTGAACGCTATTTTAAATGAATACCTCGCACAGAGGGATGGTCAAATTTTGAATGACTACTCTCCCACAAATGCTGCGATTGGGAAGCGGAAGAATTGTGAGTTGACGAGCGTGCAACTTTGAGACAACGTTTATCAACCTTAGATCTGAGATGACGTGGTATGGGAAACCGTCGAAACGCTAGTGCGAAATCGCGGGCTTGAACATTGCTGCACAACACTCACTGGAGAACGCGTATTGCCTCCTTTCATGCTATGTATTTAATATTCAGTACAGAGGTATCTACTTCACCAAATCTGGACGCATTTTCACTAATCCGAAATTTGCCATTTCATGTTATGATAGTGCTAAACGAATCAAAGCAATGTGATGGTAAGAAATGTGAGGTAGAAATGATTAAATGCATGAATTGGTGAATCAAACGCGTGCAGTAGATGGTAGGGATTGTCGTGGGCCACGGTCTACGGGCTATGAAAGAGGCAAATCAGCCAGGCTTTAGGTTCTTCTTTCTAGTACAAATAAGGTGAAACCCCTTGGGTTTGCTGCATACCAGTAGGAAGAGTAGGTTAATTTATGTTCCCGTTGCTTCATTATGCTACTTACTAAAAGTCCGTAGCATTGATATTTCAACTAGCCTTGTTAATAAGAGCAATATGAGGAATACGTGTTACTTCTTTTAGAACTACTCTATCGGCGTGTATGGCAAAGAGGAATAGAATGTTGAAGGCACCTGGTCGTGCGGTGGATAGGGATAAAGTTGATGGTCTTACGTAAAGAAGGTGGATGGAAGGCAAACTTCGCTCAAAAGGCAACAATTACTTACAACTAATTATACTGTTGTTGTTCGATCGTTTTTGGAAGTAGTTAAATAACCCGAATGCCTGTCGCATCTCTAAAGCATCACATTCGATTGCTGAATAGTGCGAAATTATCCCAATGTGCCATTTCTACATAAGTTTATTCTGTTCATCACCAATTGCATACAATTGGATATAAGCGAGTAGAAATGACTTCTGATCATGTTGTAAAGTCAGTGGAATTAGCGCAAGTGCTGCAAACTTGATGTTTCTTTGTGTTGCACGAAGCTCTGATTGGAAGTGTGGTGACATTGAACTCGCCACACTTCAGGGCACACAACTCAGAGTCCGTGCGAATTTATTGTTCGGTGCTTTCGTGTTTCGTTTAAGACAGCTCAAGAATACAACTGTCGACCAAAATGAGATTGATGCGTTAAAGGCACATGTTCCAATAAGCAGTAATTTAAAGCATTATCAACCTACACCAGACTCACATGCAGCCACTCGGCAACATTATAGCAATGCGGGTCATTTTGCAAAATTAAAAGGATGCGAAAACAAACGTACCACGTAGACGGATGCTTTTGGGAAAGTAAATATAAAAAATGCTATCTATAACCAAATTTGGTGCATCAAACAATGCAGATAGATAGCGTAATGACGAAATTAACCCATAAGAATTTTCATCGGCAATTCGACAGTGCCCAAATCAGCCACATTTCTGCCTCTACCTCTACTTCGGCCATTCAGCTAGCGTTGTACATGGGCCAGCTTTTGTATGTGCTTGCAAAGTTGTCAGAGGTATTACCCGTGGGACGATTTCTGTCTTCCGAATGCTACAAATGCTGTTGAATCCCTTTGGTTTGTCGACGAGTTCGAGTGCAAGACAATTACTGTTACGCAAGGCACGTTCTGTAGTAAAACGGAAGGTTACTCGGTATACCATGGCTCTTGTCACTCCGGATGACTCGATGCTCTCACACCATATATGCGCAAAAGGACGAAAAGATGAAGTAATATGGGAAGAACAGAACTGAAATAACCACCAAACCTAACACAATGTGACAGTTATAGGAGAATGACCTAAGCCGAATGACGAGATCAAAGTGATAAATAGGAGCACACCCCAGCAAATGAGCAAGCCTTATATGAGTGAAATGACGACGTCATGCAGCTTCACTTCTACCAATGCAAGCGTGTTAGAAATGAAAGAGAGTAAACCCAGATCGGAAGCTATTAAGTTTGATTGGTAAGTGGTGACATCCACAAACAGGTGGGTAAGAGATGTGAATGTGGTGGCAGTGGCTTGGTGTAGGCATCACATTTCCATATTTTGCAAGAAATCTCTAACCGACGTAGACTAAGCAACTTCACATGCTACTCAAACATCAGTACGAGTTAGAGAGATGCGCACCATCAGCTCATTATTTCAGCGTGAACTATTAGTTGAAACAGAAAATGTGAGGGCAGTGCAGGGTTATGATTTAAGTAGAGACACGTTAGTGCTGCTTGAACAAGAAAAGAATAGGTATGCAGCAGTTTGAATGTGGCTAGAATAATATCTACTGGCAAGAGATAAAAAAAGACGATATTTGACGTGGTTAAGTCGGAGTGCTGATGATCATGATTGCATTCGTGACAGAATGGGCAACGGAGAGTGACCACTTCTCAAGCGCCACGTCTTCATTGAGTCACCTCTGTGACGCGAAGTGCAATCGTTAGTGAGAGTGAGCTATCATGCTACTTGGCAGTATTCACAACCCAATGCCATGAGTGTGAAACCATTCGAGCACAATGCACGACTACTTGATTTCGCCTCATCCACTTCCATCACTCATATCCACCAATTCCGTCTACCCGTTGGTAATGTTGGCCACAGTCGGCACACCGACCGAGGAGTGTCTACTGACATTTCTCCTCATACTGTCAGCTAAGCAGTGAATTTGGTCCTGACGATGGTACATATAGCACTCAAAGCGATGGCAAAAATCAGTCAAAAGCCTTAACATGATCTTGATCCACTCAACTGCTCTTTCCTGCTGATCACCTCACAATCCACCCCACTTCACTTTCGGAAGATGCAAGCAGGCGTGAGCGTGAGTGATGAGAATGATTGAGTTCACAACACAGAAGAAAGAGCACAAATGCGGTCTGCACTTGAGTCCTTCAAGCCAATCCCCTCATCGCCATCATCACATCCATTAAATGTGCTCGTCTGCACTCTCTCACCTGTCGCATCCTCCCTCTAGCAGGCTTTGCCTTGGGTCTGTCCATTTACGATGTACTCCACCTCTGCTCTCCAGTTCACCTTGACCTTCTTCAACTTATCTTTTATTGTACGCACCCAGATGCAAGAGATAACACCAACATGCCTGCATGCTCATTCTGCTTTCCATTTCTAATTTTGTGTGCAGCACCTGTTAGCTGCTTCAGCAGCACTCTTAACAACTACCCCATTTTTGCATATTCCATAACATTTCAAGTAGTCACATGAGGTGCAACACTTGTTCAAACATCTAAATTCCTCTTTTAAAAATCATATCTACTCCTTAATATTATGGGTATTTTTTTCGGATTTGGATCTAAGAACGACCCTTACGGCATACGAATCCGCAACCCATCCACTTTTGCAACACACCCGTTATTAACAGTGGGCGTCAAGAAATCAAATTATACTTATGTCATGATGGAATTTTGATTTTTAAGCTCATGAAATAAAATTTGCATACTGGAGTCCTGGATTTCGCTCCTGATGCATGGATTATGACTTAGTAACACAGTTAAATTTCACTAGTACATTAATGCCTCGGTTTAAATGGAAAACAGAACTCTCTCCGTACTATGCCACTGGTGACACTGGTTTTTCTCAGTCCCACTCGAATAAACAATACAGTATTCTTCAACTTTATAATGATGTACATGTTAAATGCACACACTTTGCCATTGACATGCTAGGAGTGGTGCGTGTTGCCTGTTTAACGCATAAGTGGATGGGTTGCGGATTAAGATGTTTTAACAAGTGTTCCGCTTTCAGTGCACCTGACTCGAATATGGAGTAATTCATATTCAGCACGGTGCAGCATTTATTTGCGATTCAAAATTGGAACATACATCTCCTATTAATGTTTGCAATTTCACAAATCAGGCATACGTTTCGATTTCGAGGTGCACGATTTTCCACCTGTGTGTCGCCTAACTATACAGGGCTCCATTACAATGTCCATGCATGAATGTGTATATTTGCTACTATTTTCATCCATTCACCTCTGCTGCAGGAGCCTACTTTGTAGCTGGAAGAGTCGTTGATTCAGTGAGTTGAGCGAGTTAAAAATGAACACCCAAGCCTGGCAAAGATGCCAAGGTGTGATGTTACTATGCATTGTGTCGCAGTGGCCGTAGAAAGAGGCATTTCCGTGGCATATACAGCAGGAAATTGACTTGATGAATTGATGAAATGCCACCAATGACTGCAGTGAATGCAGTGCCAAACGCAGATGTGGGCATTGCACATTAGTGGGTTAGTGATTTAAGCACAATTTACCACCACTTGAGTACCGCTAGCCCACACCTTGGATGTATATCACCGCCTCCGACCATCGAACAGTAATTTTAGTTAAAAGGCCATGTATTGGCTGGGTTGAGCCAGCTGAGATTATTTTGCAAAGTGCGGGCTAATGAACTCGGTCCTTATAGTGTGGCACTAGTTGCCTTGTTCCATGGACAAAATCAGAGAAGGCCATGGAATGCTCTTCGTCCTGGCATCACTACATCAATGCCCAACCACAAGACCGATATTACACGGTATCGCTCACCCCATTTGTTTCTAATACAATCACGTAGACACTGAGATTTAGATATGGCGAAACACCTGTAATATGAAAGAGTGGTTATTTATTTTCAAAAGCGGCTCTTAGACATACGCGCAAGTGTCCCTGTTTCTGTGCGCCTGACTCGAATATGAAGCAGTGCATTGCAGAGAAATAAAGCGTTGGTCCAAATCGCGTGTTCTGAACATCTTTGCTTATTCGTTGGCATAATCAAGATGCTGCACAAAAACCGCTCTTCTCGAATGATTTGGCTAGAAGCGAGATTTGCTTCACCTATCGTGCAAGATAAATTGCTGTGTTGGCTGACGCTCCCCTCCGTCATTGCATTTTGAGTTTTCTCATTTAGCATGTGCTTCAAAGTGTAAAAATGCAGCATAATCTGCATCTCTTCACAAAATTGGTGCTTGCTGCTAAACTAATCTCGAAAGAACTATGAAAAATTCGTCAACATCAACGGTGCTGGCAGCTTCTACTTTACTTAGTGGCAGCTGCACAACACTAATTTGCAATTAGCATGTTAAGCATAAAAGCAGTGCTTTTTGTCGCAGTTCAATACTGCATTTCCTATTTAGCGCAACGTCAAGATCCTAGTGCGTGAGTCCTCTTCAAATCGCCTAGCTTGCATGTTCTGATAGCGACAACCTACTATTTCACTCAATGCTGAAAATGAGTAGCATCTAAGTTAACGACTCATTAAAACAATGCCTGATGTAATCGTGATTCACAAGGTCAGTTCCACACATAAATACGCGAGGCGTTTCTCGACCTCTTGGTTCATTTGCCACAATGTCATCCACACTGGGTGAGTTGTAATTTCGTATGAATCCGTAAATTTCGTTGTTTCTGTTCAATTGAAAAGATTCACTCTGCAAAGTCTGTGTTCAGTTCTCCTAGGCCTTGTCATCCTCATATCTGCTGCAACGTGTCAGCTACCTACAGATGCTGAACGAGACCACATTCTCGAGGCTCATCGCGAAGTGCGAGAACACGTGTTTCCTCCTGCCAGGAATATGCTATTAATGGTAATGTCTACACGTGACAAACTTGTGCCATTAAATTGCCCATTTAGCTATTGCTTTATTAGCCAACAAATGCCCCATATTTGATACTATTTCAACTGATTTCACTTGGGATGTCAATTGTGTCAATTCATGCGTGTTTGTGATTTGAATAGGAGTATTCAAAGGAAATGGAAATGCTGGCAGCATATTGGGCCGCTCATTGCATTTATGAGCATCCAGACAGAAGCCGTTATCCACAGTACCGTGAAGTTGGACAAAACCTTGCGCTTACTGCTGGTTTCAAGCCATCTCTCACAGAAAGCGTGTGTGTTTATAAGACCGAATCTCGCTTTTACAAATTTGCTAATAATTCGTGCAGTCATGTTTGTGGTCACTACACTCAGGTGAGCAAAATACTGTGTGTAAGCATTGTTAATGCCATTTGATATCATTTCACATGTCCACTCTCAAATGAAATTATCCTCTCGAATGCTTAAGCATGTTAATGAATCTTTGCAAATTAGTGACAATGCATTTCCATGGAACATTATTGGCATTATTCATGCTTGAACAGCTGGTGTGGGCCACCTCCATTCAAGTGGGCTGTGCCATGCGGCAGTGTGATGACCTCAGACCTCACTGGCCCAATCCACAATATCTAACAGTCTGTCAGTACAAGCCTCCGTATGTCGCATGTGTCCACATTTACCCATCAACACGACTTTGCTGCTTTTCGTAACGCTTATTTGTCGTTCCTCTAGAGGAAATTACGTTGGACGAAAGCCGTATATCCGTGGACGCAGCTGCAGCAAATGCCCTAGGGGCTATTTGTGCTACCGCAATCAGTGTGCAAGTGTGTCTCAAATGAGGAAAATATACTCGAAAGGCAGTGCCGACAAATCTGTGCCAGAATGCAAGCCAGAGAGCTTCTATTCGGCTATTCAATACAGTTCGTAGGAAGACTTCCTCGTGAAGCATCGCGTTACCCATTGTTGCACTCACTTCTCCCAGCTTCATATCAGCTTCATATTACCTTCGATGATAATCATGGCATCAATAAAGCTCCGTTTTCCCATCACAGCTTTGTTTTATAGTGAACTATCATTCAACTCTATGCATGATTGTTGACATGCGAGGATTACCACTATGCCTACTAGTTAACGGGGCGTTACTAAGAGAGTGGAAGATGCATTGGCCGAAAGCAAGGGAAAGCGGTTGCAGCAGTATACACAGTTGGGGTATTTGCTAACGTTGCAAAAAGAGAAGGCGTTTGCCTTGCTTGAACATTTACCCGAATGAGGCAGGAGTCAATATTTTCGGCTTTCTTCTCATTGGCACAGCAACCCATTTAGCTCAATCACTTCAACTTTCCATTGAACCTCTTGTACATCCGCGATAGTTTGAGCATCACGAACTCAATATCTACAGCCAAACTAAACAGAGCTGCAGTTACTGTGGCATGATATACGCTGCGCTATTTGTGTAACGTTGTACACGTAACCAATGAAGGCTTTCTGCTCCACTTCACTTAATGTAGTAGGTAGCAGTGACTTGCATGTACTTTCTGCTGCAAGTCGAAGGATTGCCAAGTGCCCCACCTCTGCTGCACATGCTTTATGCAATGGCTAAGACAAATCTAGCCTGTAACATTCTCGCTTTTGTTGTCCAACTGTATTCCCATCAAGTGGAGGAGATGATCGTAAAAGTGAGGATGGTGAAGTTTCGTCAACTGCATGCGGGTGATGAAAATAATGCTAAAGTTTAGGTGGTATGCCTATCCCTAAATCCTAATAGAAGATGAAAGCATCTCATGACACCAGTTGAACACATGCTCCTCTTTCATTTCGCGATCGACACCAAACTTCAGCCTACCATCGACGGTGCAATGAATATTTATTCTTCTCCTGTTTGAAATGGCAAGACTTTGTTGAAAGCAATGAATTTCAATTACTTTTGTAGGTTTTTCTTTTTTAGCTTTTTATCTTTACGACTTTATTACGTATTTACACAAATGTGACTTACAACCAATAATTTGGGATCGTCACTTTTTTAAATCAAACTAACCAAGTCGAACTTGTTTTAACAAAGGAGCCGTACCTAGTAGCTGCCTAGATGGTGACTAACCTCCGTCTGCTAGTGTGCCCTAGTACAATTTGTAGAAACCTATCTTGATTTCGTGAGTAATTTTTGTGCTCGAAGGTGTACTTAATCCTCCTATTCATGATATACTTTGATGAGGAGTCACAGTCGATCGGCCATTCTGCTGAAAAGTGAGTACGGGGTAATCGGCTCACTAGAAAGATGCTGTTTGAGCATTCTGTCTACACGGCCAAGAGAATGGAGGATCGCAACCTTCCCAACCACCCCAACATGTGATCCTGTTGAGCTCACACCAGTGGTTGTCACGCACAGTGACTTGGATGCAAAGTATTTTGCTGACCAGTGTGGGTCCCAGGATATGTATATTTTATTGAGTATCAATGAAACACTTGGCATGTTTACAAACTGGATTTTCGAAACTAGGATCGAATTGGGCGCAAGTCGTTAGCATTATAATTAAATGGGTTTTTCACTAAAGTACTTCAATATTATGGCCCATAATTGACAATTATATGTGGAATTCTATTGCTGCTTAATTCCCATCTGTTTGATTTCCTTGTCGTGCATTATTTGCATGCAGGCAAAATTTTGCGGGTGCACTGAGTACGTATATCTTCGGTTGTGTTTCGTTATATATATTTAAGGAATTTTATCGAAACAGAGCACAAATTCACGTAGAAGCTGTAATAAAATGAAAGGTCCTTCCCTCATTTTTTGGCGTTGGAATGCCTTTGGTGACTTGAATTAAATCAAATGTCCAACAGAATACCGGCTTAGAAAAGAGTAATGGCAGATGTGTGATTGTAATGCCTATGTCGCTTAGGCAGTTGAAGAGCATTTGGCTTTATTGCATTGGCACTTAGGTAGTTAATTTGATCTACTACATTGCACTCACTCCTTAAATAAACTACAATTTGATGACGCTTAACATGCTGCAGATGGTGATGTCGTATCTGCACACATATTCGGTTGACTGTGACCAAATTTGCCCAGCGTGGATTTGTTTCGGTGAACGCTATTTTAAATGAATACCTCGCACAGAGGGATGGTCAAATTTTGAATGACTACTCTCCCACAAATGCTGCGATTGGGAAGCGGAAGAATTGTGAGTTGACGAGCGTGCAACTTTGAGACAACGTTTATCAACCTTAGATCTGAGATGACGTGGTATGGGAAACCGTCGAAACGCTAGTGCGAAATCGCGGGCTTGAACATTGCTGCACAACACTCACTGGAGAACGCGTATTGCCTCCTTTCATGCTATGTATTTAATATTCAGTACAGAGGTATCTACTTCACCAAATCTGGACGCATTTTCACTAATCCGAAATTTGCCATTTCATGTTATGATAGTGCTAAACGAATCAAAGCAATGTGATGGTAAGAAATGTGAGGTAGAAATGATTAAATGCATGAATTGGTGAATCAAACGCGTGCAGTAGATGGTAGGGATTGTCGTGGGCCACGGTCTACGGGCTATGAAAGAGGCAAATCAGCCAGGCTTTAGGTTCTTCTTTCTAGTACAAATAAGGTGAAACCCCTTGGGTTTGCTGCATACCAGTAGGAAGAGTAGGTTAATTTATGTTCCCGTTGCTTCATTATGCTACTTACTAAAAGTCCGTAGCATTGATATTTCAACTAGCCTTGTTAATAAGAGCAATATGAGGAATACGTGTTACTTCTTTTAGAACTACTCTATCGGCGTGTATGGCAAAGAGGAATAGAATGTTGAAGGCACCTGGTCGTGCGGTGGATAGGGATAAAGTTGATGGTCTTACGTAAAGAAGGTGGATGGAAGGCAAACTTCGCTCAAAAGGCAACAATTACTTACAACTAATTATACTGTTGTTGTTCGATCGTTTTTGGAAGTAGTTAAATAACCCGAATGCCTGTCGCATCTCTAAAGCATCACATTCGATTGCTGAATAGTGCGAAATTATCCCAATGTGCCATTTCTACATAAGTTTATTCTGTTCATCACCAATTGCATACAATTGGATATAAGCGAGTAGAAATGACTTCTGATCATGTTGTAAAGTCAGTGGAATTAGCGCAAGTGCTGCAAACTTGATGTTTCTTTGTGTTGCACGAAGCTCTGATTGGAAGTGTGGTGACATTGAACTCGCCACACTTCAGGGCACACAACTCAGAGTCCGTGCGAATTTATTGTTCGGTGCTTTCGTGTTTCGTTTAAGACAGCTCAAGAATACAACTGTCGACCAAAATGAGATTGATGCGTTAAAGGCACATGTTCCAATAAGCAGTAATTTAAAGCATTATCAACCTACACCAGACTCACATGCAGCCACTCGGCAACATTATAGCAATGCGGGTCATTTTGCAAAATTAAAAGGATGCGAAAACAAACGTACCACGTAGACGGATGCTTTTGGGAAAGTAAATATAAAAAATGCTATCTATAACCAAATTTGGTGCATCAAACAATGCAGATAGATAGCGTAATGACGAAATTAACCCATAAGAATTTTCATCGGCAATTCGACAGTGCCCAAATCAGCCACATTTCTGCCTCTACCTCTACTTCGGCCATTCAGCTAGCGTTGTACATGGGCCAGCTTTTGTATGTGCTTGCAAAGTTGTCAGAGGTATTACCCGTGGGACGATTTCTGTCTTCCGAATGCTACAAATGCTGTTGAATCCCTTTGGTTTGTCGACGAGTTCGAGTGCAAGACAATTACTGTTACGCAAGGCACGTTCTGTAGTAAAACGGAAGGTTACTCGGTATACCATGGCTCTTGTCACTCCGGATGACTCGATGCTCTCACACCATATATGCGCAAAAGGACGAAAAGATGAAGTAATATGGGAAGAACAGAACTGAAATAACCACCAAACCTAACACAATGTGACAGTTATAGGAGAATGACCTAAGCCGAATGACGAGATCAAAGTGATAAATAGGAGCACACCCCAGCAAATGAGCAAGCCTTATATGAGTGAAATGACGACGTCATGCAGCTTCACTTCTACCAATGCAAGCGTGTTAGAAATGAAAGAGAGTAAACCCAGATCGGAAGCTATTAAGTTTGATTGGTAAGTGGTGACATCCACAAACAGGTGGGTAAGAGATGTGAATGTGGTGGCAGTGGCTTGGTGTAGGCATCACATTTCCATATTTTGCAAGAAATCTCTAACCGACGTAGACTAAGCAACTTCACATGCTACTCAAACATCAGTACGAGTTAGAGAGATGCGCACCATCAGCTCATTATTTCAGCGTGAACTATTAGTTGAAACAGAAAATGTGAGGGCAGTGCAGGGTTATGATTTAAGTAGAGACACGTTAGTGCTGCTTGAACAAGAAAAGAATAGGTATGCAGCAGTTTGAATGTGGCTAGAATAATATCTACTGGCAAGAGATAAAAAAAGACGATATTTGACGTGGTTAAGTCGGAGTGCTGATGATCATGATTGCATTCGTGACAGAATGGGCAACGGAGAGTGACCACTTCTCAAGCGCCACGTCTTCATTGAGTCACCTCTGTGACGCGAAGTGCAATCGTTAGTGAGAGTGAGCTATCATGCTACTTGGCAGTATTCACAACCCAATGCCATGAGTGTGAAACCATTCGAGCACAATGCACGACTACTTGATTTCGCCTCATCCACTTCCATCACTCATATCCACCAATTCCGTCTACCCGTTGGTAATGTTGGCCACAGTCGGCACACCGACCGAGGAGTGTCTACTGACATTTCTCCTCATACTGTCAGCTAAGCAGTGAATTTGGTCCTGACGATGGTACATATAGCACTCAAAGCGATGGCAAAAATCAGTCAAAAGCCTTAACATGATCTTGATCCACTCAACTGCTCTTTCCTGCTGATCACCTCACAATCCACCCCACTTCACTTTCGGAAGATGCAAGCAGGCGTGAGCGTGAGTGATGAGAATGATTGAGTTCACAACACAGAAGAAAGAGCACAAATGCGGTCTGCACTTGAGTCCTTCAAGCCAATCCCCTCATCGCCATCATCACATCCATTAAATGTGCTCGTCTGCACTCTCTCACCTGTCGCATCCTCCCTCTAGCAGGCTTTGCCTTGGGTCTGTCCATTTACGATGTACTCCACCTCTGCTCTCCAGTTCACCTTGACCTTCTTCAACTTATCTTTTATTGTACGCACCCAGATGCAAGAGATAACACCAACATGCCTGCATGCTCATTCTGCTTTCCATTTCTAATTTTGTGTGCAGCACCTGTTAGCTGCTTCAGCAGCACTCTTAACAACTACCCCATTTTTGCATATTCCATAACATTTCAAGTAGTCACATGAGGTGCTTCCTCCTAATGCCTATTACCTTTCACCATTTCTGCGGCAGATGCTGGTGGATAAGCAAAGTTGATTCCCATCTTAAGTGATAGTCACGACTTCTAACCAAAATGCTCCAATTCGAGTGGTGGCAATGCACGCTAACTTCACTAGCTCATGCTTTCCGTCTGTGTCCACCAGTCTGCCTTGATGTAAGGATTACTTTGCTGAATAGCTTGTGCGTGCATGCAGAGTGTGCTTACTCTCAACGCTTCTTCGTGAAAGGATTCTTTATTTACCCACGTTAGATGGCCTCATTGAGTTAAGATTTGTGGGTGATGTGATGTGATGCATCTGTCGTTAATTGGTCGACTCTCTAATGAGTACCTATTGGTAAACGGGGTCTCACTTGCATTTGAAGAATGATATGCCTTAGTGTTTAATTTGTGCAAGGGCATTCGTGATTACACGTGCGCAGAATCGCCAACTGTAGATATTACTAACTGCTGGTTGAAAATGCAGGTTCTCGATAACTACAACTTCATTTTGAACAGAAGTTCGGTTGCGATAATTCAATGAGTCGTTCTGGTTTCTCATGTTGAACATCGTGAAGCAAATAGTTGACAGGACAACGAGTACTTTGATGGAAAATGCAACTCACAATAGGCCTTGCAAACAGAGTGGTCAAATCAAAAATAATATCAAGACTCATTCCTAGACATGCTTTCATATCACGAGGCAGCTTTGTGGTTTTCATCTTCAGTGCCGAATTCCAACTTTCGCTTCCGAAAAGGAGTGAAGCCATGAATTGGTGAGTACGAGATCTGGTTTTTTGATCCTGGTGAGCCAATATCGGGATCCACTGGTCTTAGATCGAAGCTCCGTGTGACACCATACATTACAGTCGGGAGCATGAGTGAGTGACTGGAGCTGTCGAAACCCAACTGAATAATACGACCCTCGTGACGTAAGTGGAAGGATTGCAGCTGCGGCTTCAACTCGAAGGTCGACGTGAAATAAATTCACGATCAGGTGACGTCAGCTCATCCAACTAAGATGGCAGAAACTGTTATTTAAGAAAAGCTCTAAAAACCATATTAACAAGTACTTCACAAATTTGTAATGTATCAACATCCGGAGGCGTGCTGGGAAAGACTGCGTTCGTCTATTCGTGTTTACATGATAGACTCCGCCTACCTGCAGTCGTCAGCACATTCCAACCCTAATAGTAGTCCGTCTTCAGTACATTGCCACGTATTTCTAGAGGCAAGACGTGAGGTATCACTTCTGCACGAACTAGTGCCATGAAGCCAACATCAGCAAATTGAGTAGCCTATGCATCAGTGGCAGATTGAGCAAGCAGTTGGGCAGATGCTGGGAGTATTTTAAATGCAATGAAATGTGGGAACTCTAAATGTGAATGGAAGTCGTTGGAGTTCGAATTTGTTTCCCACTTGCAAAACCAATGTGCTATAATCAGCTTCTGTCTTCAATGTCAAGATTAGTCGCTGTCGCTACATTACATCCCTTTCCTAATGCTTTTCACCTGTCGTCTGTTTCAAATTAGTCAGTAAAATAAATGCTCATTTTAAACAGTACCCTGCTCAACAAATGCGGGAAGTACGCATATCATTGAAGTGCCCTTCTAAGGTTATGTAAATATTTGAAAATTAGATTTAAAATGCATCTTTTAACGAAAGTTGCGGTTGTTGCTGCTGCAGTGATTTATGTCCTAGAGAATATTGTTGTGCTGAGGGGTGTGAGGCATCATGTTATTACTTTGCTGGACTATCAGCCCACCGTTTATGCTGGTGCGAGAGCAGTTTGACGCGCCTACTTTATGGACTGAAAATGAAATATTCCTGAGCTGATTTGGGCACACCTCGTATCAAATTCAACGAGGACATGTCAGATGCAGCAGTTACAGAATTGTAAAGGAAATACCGGTTCATAATGTGCAATAAATGGATTTTGCTTGCAAAATCTGTGTAATTTTTCAAAAGAAACCTTAAATTTTTTTACTGAAGCGGGTTTCACTCTGCACAGGTGAGGCGATTTGGTAGAGAGACTGATGGTGAGTGCTGAGTTGGATGTCCTCTAGTTGATCAGTGAGTTTAAATGGCGATCTTGTAGTGTGAACATTTTACGAAATAAATTGGTGACTGCTCGCAAAGCCACTCTTTTGCGATTACAGTGGATGCAATTAAACGCATGTTCATAGCACCGCTCTGATAATGACGTGGATTTACCACCGTGATGGTGAGTGAGGTTAGCTTGAATGATTTGTCTCACCTTAAGGGTAAATGGGAGTGGCTGCTTTCGCAACACTCCAAGACTGTGCGTGAGGGTGGAGGCAAACTCGTCAAAGTGACTGAGGATGAGGCGCGTAGTCACATCGCGTCGCAACCTTTTAGGAGGCTAAACAGTGCAAGCTCACAATAAGCAAGCATAATGCCTATAGTAGTAGCAGTAGTATTTAATTTTATAAAAAGTAGCATTTGCATATGTGGTTATTTCTGCAATGCCGATTCAAAGAACGTAAAAGTTCTTGTTAAAGCATCATTAGGTAGAGTCACTGATAAATCAGTCATTGGGAATCTTTCAGTTAACCAAACTCGAGCACCGCGAAGATGATCGCTTAGTGTGCTTTGCATCCTCGTCCGCTCACACTCCCAACTTGCTTCATGTGGCTCCTCGCGTCCCTGCCAGCATCATTCGTGGTGACTATTACACAAGCTGTGTTAAGGCATGCAGTAACAACTTTGGCCACAACTAGGGTTTGCTCACTGGAATAAACGGTCGCATTTTACTTCCTGCATACGCCCACACCTAAAATTGTGGGCTCAAATACAGCAAAATCTTAACTTCGCATCAGATAATTTGCAGAGAGCAGCAGCACAAGTAACAGGAAAGGACGAGAAGTGGTTTGCTACTGCCTGCTGCTCTTCTCCCTCTAAATCTGTTGACAATATTGCGGCTGCATTAATGGACCTGTGAATGGGATGACCCTACCAACAATGTATGATGTACCAAAGATGGTGGCATGAGGCCATATACCTGGACGCTGAAGGCGAAGCCAAAAGAGAGGACAAGGTTGAGGCGGTGGCATAAAAATTGGCTGTGATAAAATTTAGCCGATTACGCGTATTGGGAACCAATGGTTAATAAGGTCATTAGTGGGGGTTAACCTGGCGTGGGAAATGGGGAATGGGACAAGTGTGGTTTGAGAGATACAGTGGGTGGAACCGGAAAAGTATCACTAATGTAAAATACGTTCACATTTTCACCTCTCCTTATTTGCTATTGTTTTTACTTTTGCAAATTTAATATGCACATCTCTATACCATAGTCCATCTTTTTAATATCTTGCTTTTAATTCATACATTCACCTCTCTGCACGTTCGTGTCGATTCCTGCTCACTATTACACCCACATTTTGATGCATTTGTAAATATGTTCACGATCTTCTCCACTTACTAGACTACGTCTACTCATTTTCACATACTTATCCACATACCAACGTACACACATACACACACAAATGGTCCGCATTTTCGTAGCACACACACCAGAAATCACACAATGCAAATCAGTGGCGGAATCTACTTTAGGCAAATAAATGCAGGATAAAGCAGATCAAGTCATAACTGGCATGTGCCAAGTATGATGTCTAAAATTAGAGAATGCTTACTACCACCATTTATCCTCGAGTTAAGTCTTTCCTGGCCCAGGTGTGGAGACCTCATTTTGTTGAGTTTATCAATTGATGCAACGCTCAATGAGCGTCTTTTAGTGAAGAAGGTCTAATTTGTATAAATAGGCAGAAGGTACATTTGCATCTAGATTACGGGCACATGGAAGCAATAACCGAGGCCATACAGGCATTTAGCGAGATAATAAATGTAGATTTCAACTAACCACAATCCCATCTTCCACAATGGGTAAGTTGGGACAATCCATTGTCTCATTAAGTCAACATTTGCCAAAATTTTTGGACTATTACTACCTACAAAAATGAGCGCTTGAATGGTGAATAAATTTGTTAGTGTAGGAATCAAAATGAATAAAAGGACAAAATCCCTACAATACGAAACAATGCTTGGTTCTAATCCTAATGACAAAATTCAACTTACAGATGCAGACATATTTCCGTAGCACTGCTATAACAATGATATGGTGCCATTGATCCACCATTTGAGTGATTTGGACCACGTAGACGTGAAACTTAGGCTTCCTTTCATTGCAAATTCAAGTAAGTGTGTGGGCGAGTGAGTGCAGCAGTGGAAATGAGCTGAGGTGATGTTCGCTGCATCATCAAATCCCTATGTTAGTGAAGTTGATTGGTACAATTTAGCAGTGAATGCCATGGCCTCCAATTGAATAGGCAGCAACATCTCCCTCCTCACCTGATCACTCATGCTGACTCGGTCCATTCATTTGCACCCAAAGTGTTGTTAGCGACCATTAAAATCATTAGACTGACATAGAGAGTTGTGGTGGAGGGACTTTCTCTTCTCCTCCTTCTTCAACTCGCAATATATCGCGACGCATAGACACTGTGTAGATTCGTCTGTGATGGATGATGGACATGCCTGATACTGATAGCGGGACGGTTTCTTCTCTCCTCTGTATTCAGGCAGGGAGAATCAGCCTTTCCTTAATAACAAGCTCCATTTCTGTTAATGTGAAATGTTACACGGAGTGGAGGCTTCTATTTCTACATCTATACTTCCCCATCCACCTCCGTTTCCACTCCTATGAAGAGCAGTGCAAAGTCTACATTCGCACTGCTATTTAAATAAAATGAAAATGAGTGTACCACTAAAACCGTTGTTTCTGTTGTTGTGGTCACTGGATAGAAACTGCTAAATTAAAGTTATCGGGTCAGTGGATAGAATCACTTTAGTGAAGATGTCAACGCTTTTCGGCCTCTGCTTCTTCATCACATTTAGCATTGATGAAAGGAAGTCATTTAAAGCGCTATTTGGTGGAGTGTCAATCCTCCACCATATGATGCCAGCTAGATAGTGGCGTGATCAAGTGGGCATGGTTCTCTCTCGAGGAAAGAGCTTTCCGAGACTACGAGTTACCCATCATATATCACCCAGTACGTCAACAAATGTCATTGTGCAGACAGTTTTCAGACAGTTTGTTCTTCTGAAAATGCAGGAATAATGTCATGTAAACCAGAATATATGGTGGTGGCTATCACTACAATAGCTGACGTGCTTCTCAACCACCTCTTCACATTTATTCACTTGACCTGTGAACATTGAGATTCTTCATAAAATGAGCAAAGTGGATTCGACCGAACACAGGTCTGGCCTGTGTTTGGTAGTCAGTCCACATAACTACACAAACTCAGGCAATGCGTTTGCTCACATTGTCACTGCCCTCACTCCGTTGTATTCGTGCAGGTGCAAGGCATAGTAAAGCATGGAAACTGATCACTACTTAAGTCATTTCAGTGCAATCTCCTCTTCATCAAAGATGTGAGTCGAAACCACTAACTGTAATAGCAGAATCTGACGAAGTACAGGGTTATTTACCCACAATGTTCCTAAGTCGACTTTGTCGAATAAAGAAGTTGCAGTACGTGGCAATAGTCTTAACTGAAGCATAAGTCTTGGGTTTCAAATTCTTGCGGCCAAATCACAAGCAAAGGGAAGGAAAGACGCCGTGGGCATGCATAACCAGAGACACGTTGAATAATAGGTCAACCACAGTCAACGTAAACGCAGACAACTCTTTGCAGATGCACCTTCTTTATTCCTTTCTTTTCGCTTTCTTCCCTTCCGACTTTGTTCCTTCTTTTACTTGGAGAAGTCACACAACAGCTTCCTAGTGTGTGTTCTTCATTGGAATCAGATGGGCAGAAACTCCACATCCAGTCAAATTGAATAACGTGGAACGGACATTTTACCAAGGTGTGATATAGACAGGGTCAATAGCAAGTGCTGTGCAGAATAAGAACCCTATCAGCGCTTTCCTGATTGTAATACTGCCTCATTTCGAGGTTGTAACTGTAAGGAAGGCGTTTTCTTTATTCACTCAAGTCTGATCATTCTGGCTTATCATATTTGCTTAGCCAGCTATGTTGGTGAACCTGCGACTTGTCTGCGTATCAGAGGAGTCAGAATTAGCCTCGAATCACCTCTCTGTGGATCGATGCGCTTCCTCACTGCAGTCGGCAATAACTCTGCACTGACCCTTTCATAACCTTCCATTAGCTGCAACCAGTTATGAGAATATTTATCTTTGGTGCCAATCTAAAAGATTTAAAAATCCTTTTTAACAAATCAAACGTATGTGGGTTAATTTTGGACCAGCAACACAGGACTCCATTTTAGATTATTATAATTGTTTGCCTTTAAAATTCCGATTTGTCCCGCAATTTCACGATAGCCACATTGCCTTCTTCCAGCAGTTCATGGCTTTTGCTCCTCGTATTGGGCGAATGTCACACAAACACCTATCTGGTTCCCTCTCCTTTACTTCACCGTCCGGACACTCGAGCCGGCTTACCTCTACGCGAGAGGCGTAAATTCGAACTATGAAAATTGTAATGTTAATAGCAATGCCACAACTCGTGGACTTGGAATGTAGATATTTACTGCAGCTAGCCCCACAGGATAAACTGCTCTGTTGTGGCTGTGAGTAGTAGTGACCCGCTATCCAGTCAAATAGAATTCCGCAAACTAGAGATACACCCGCCAATGCAAAGTGGTCGTGCCCTTATTTTGGTGCCAACAAAGTCAGTCAGCTGACCTCATTTCAGGGTAAGAAATCATCTCATCTAAATAATATTCATTCATCCTGCTCATTTTCGTAGACATAGATATACGATTACGCTGTGCGTTGCACCTTTACATACCATGAGGCAACATTTACGTGGTCACACTCAGGGCGCTCTACGTGTGGCGATGCTCTGCAGCAATTGCCAATGATGAAAGAATTGGCCACAAATGGGATCCATATCGCCTCCAATTCATTCATTTCTAAATAATTTTGCCGTTATTTGAGATTGCGAAACAGCGAGTTGATGTTGTACTAAATGACTCACAACTGGCTGAAATAGTTGATCTCCATATAGCCACTCAGCTGCGTGCTGTCAACGTAATGAAGCTAGTCTTCTATGCCAAATATTGCTTTCCAGAGAAGCACAATATTACTGTGATAAGGTAATGTTTGGGATTCTGTAGGCGAGGTAGACTGCACTGAACCAGAATAAACAAAATTTTAGCAGTAGTACGGGCTATAGATCACAATATATCAAAAATACCCACTTTTCCTGTACATGTATAATGCTTAGCAGAATGGTACTGCTGAAAGAATTTGTCGGCGTACTTTAATTGCTTAAGTGTAATACACCAAATGCTTGCATTATGTTAACATTTTGACTAAATTGACATAAACTGGCCTTTTATTTAGTCCATGGACAGTGCACATTTTACCATTCCGCTACATCGAGGGGATACATTTAACGTTATGTCCGAATTTGGTGAAATTCGTCTATGCGCCCAACTGCAAACTAAAGCACAATATGTGGGAGGAAGATCTCTCAACGGACAAAGGATGCAGTTGTCCTCACCTAAATTTTGAGCATCAGCAAATACATAGCGACGAGCAAGAGATTCCGTGCTACAACTTAGAGTTACCAGAGTTGTTCAATTTTTGAATATTGGCACGTATCATTATGCTTGCCCTCAATGTCCAGCGGGGCTTGATCGGTGAAGACCAAACCTGTAATTTTGTGCACGCATAAATTTAAATGCATCAAACTTGTCTTTTGGATCCAAAACAATTTTGTGCTCTCGTTTGCAGCATCTCTCGTATTTGCATTTCATCGCGGCATGCAGCAGATCAGAATACAGCGGAAACGGAACCACGTCTTTGCTATCGGAATGCCATGCAGATTATGTGGATTGGATAATACAGAAAGTGTGCTTTCGTCGAAGCCATCTCCATGGGAATACCTCCATCTTCCAAACCTGTTTCATAACGATCATTCATACGTCTCTTTCGTACATATTTTTCTGTTTGCTAATGTTCCAAGCAAAATATTCAGATAAGGTGAAACAAATGCTTTTCCATTGACCAAATTATAAGTTTCAAATGCTTCATTTGTCGTAACTTACATACTTTTTTAAAAACCGTGACCTACTGGTGCAAGATTATTCGTCATGCAAATTTTTAAGCTGCATCACAAAGACGAGTTCACCTGCTTTTTAAAAGGTAGAGAATCTCAGTGTGTGAAAGTTTGTTATGCTTTGGTTGAGTAAATGACGATCGCACTGGTTGTTTGATGCATAAGAACAACTGCAAGCTGACGTCAAATTCTAACCAGGCATCCATCAGCTTATCAAACTAATTGTGTTTATAAGTAGCGGCATATATTAAATTCATTTCTGTTTGTTTACACTGTGGTTCTCTTCAACAAAGTGCCATGTGGTACCATTTACCATCCATGGTCAAGCATTCTGGTAGAGTCATGGTAACTGGGCAAGAGTACCTCAACAGACGGACGTCTTTTTGCCCATAATTTAGTCAGCATTACATACGTAAGCTTCTGCCTACCTTCTTAAGCGTTCCTTATAGTTCTTATAAACATGCCCCGAGATTTGTTTATAATGTATACGGAAGCTCTAAGCGGGTGGCCTGTGTATGTCCAAGTGCAATTCATGTCACACATTCCCTTAATTTACAACTGCTTCCACTTATCGGCATATCTCAAAATGCAGAGGACAAAGCGTTATAAAGGTTGTAGTTGGAGAGAAGATTCTAATGCAAAGAAATTGATGAAAAAGCAGCTCCTTATGCATGCGTGCAAGAAAGGCAGCAAGACTAGTTAAAAAGGCTATACCGGCAACAAATCCACGTCTCACTTTAATTCGTTTGCTATCGTTCAGCCAATCATTACTGAATAATCAACCCGGACCAAATTTCAGTGCCATTAAAGAGTAATCAAAATACCATCAAAGCGAACAATCTGCAACTGACATTAAGTAAATTACTTATAAATAGTTTCATTTGATTTTTATTCAAAACAAGTCGGAAGTTAGTGAGCGAAGCACAAGTGTTTCATGCATTTATATGAGGTCTTAGTACTATTACCTTGGTAGAGTTATATTTGACCCTCCTATTTGATCTAACACCTACCTCCAATGTTTTGTAGTAAGTAAACTTCTTGGGGTGCGATTTTATGCTGAAAATTCACGACACCAAGGCGCTGTGCTAGTTAGTTTTGTCGGTCCGTGAATAATCATCTTATGGTGGTCTCTAACAATTGTAAAAATGAAATGACGAAGTTCACTGATAAGGTTCAGTTGTTTGCATCTTCAGAGTATTTTACTGTTTTCCGCAATCGTCGCATATGTACGTTTATCCCCTACATACGTTTAAACACAAAGGATTCATCATTAAGTCATAAAAGGCACAAGCAGAGTATATGTGCTCTCTAAAAATGCCGTTGTGACACATTGTCAACCATGTTATTTTGACAGAGGAGGTAATTTAAGGCCCTAGCTTCACTTTTGCATTCATCACTGTGAGATGTAGAATAACAGTATTTTTCTGATGGGATTAATGCCATTGTGTCCTTTTTGACGCTCACATGCTGCATATGTCATCTCTCCATCTGGATGTAAAAGATATCCATATCTAGGCTACAATTGTGTAAAATATGCAGGAGCATGTGCTGCTCGGTGTTTTACAGTAAAAAGATGTAAAAACAAACTGGCATCGATAAACCGGTCTAGTTTATTGCATTAGATGTGATTCGTGAGAAAAAACCCTCTTGACATAAGCGACGGAGAAATTGTTCCTGCAGGGCACCCGCCTGCAGGCACAAATCTAAATTGTGTTTTGTCTGGACATTTTTATCTTTTAACTCAATTTCTTTTTGAAATTCGATGCATTTAATTCCCTCTTTCCAAATGTCACACCAACAGGGTGTTATTCAGTTCGCTGCATTGAATGAAAAAGCCATAGGAACACATTTGGAATCAATCAAAATAACCTGATTCGCATGAAATTTACCTTCAACTTGACATTGTAAGATGCCTGTCTATAAGTCATCCGGAACTACTAATGCGTGCCACAGGTCCTGAACATCACGCGAACAATAAAACAAAAAATATAACTAAATATTGGTGATTTTGTCTATGAGAAATCGGTTAAATATTAAATGGTGCCCATGGTTTGACATCTGCCTTAGATAAATTAGCAGTGGCACTTGAACACTTAGGGCAGCATCAATGAACCCTCTGTGACATTAGGATTGCTAAAGCTGCTTATTGAATTGCAAATCATGTAAAATCTTCAAAAAGCCCTGTTTTCCATACCTTCTGTTTTCTATGTGGCATTTAGACGGATTTAAACTTTGCAAATTCTGTGCACGTAATGGTTTCCCGCGTTACAAAAGCTGCAGCAGTTTATGCAATTTCGTCAAGTTGAGATGGGGAACTGGTAGTGCCGCCAGTAAACCATCGTAAACTGCGTTTACTGAAGTACCTATGAAACTAAACATTTTGATTGGCAGTGATATTTTAAGTGGCATTTGAGAGTCAAGCATCTCTTATTAATTTTCCGGCGTAGTCGAGAGCCTGTAGCCACTTTATAAGATAAAACTGAGTTGCCAAGACAGAGTAATGATAGCCCACGCATGGTTGTAAATGTCATTCAGTGATTTTATCAGTGTATGGCATTTGACATTTCGTAAATTCGTACCGTAGTACTTTAATAGAGAACGTTGTCTACAGCGAAAATAAGAAGAGACTGGAAAGTTTAATTGTCATCGGAAGCGACAGTAACACTCCGTAAAATTATCGCTGCTGAATGTTAGCAGCTAAGTGTTAATATTCTGCTTAAAACGTGTGCTCATAGATGTGAATGGATTTACTGTGGCGTTCTGCAGTATTTGTAGAAAGAGGAGAAGCAGTGGGACATTGCCTGAAGTGTAGTAGCTTACAGTACGCATGCATTGTGGCATTCATCCAGTTTGCATTAAAGAATCAGTTGGTGTAGGTGGGACCGAGACTAGGCAGTTAGAGTGGTGCGAAAAATTCCATGGGTAATATTGTTGAATTTGTAAGAATGTGATTGATAGTTGTGAGCAACGATGTGACAGAAAAAACAATGAAGTTGCTTGCATGAAGGTGTGGGTGGACTGCCGAAAAGACAGCCGCTCTGACCGCTGAAATAAAATATAACAGGACACAACACATAAGTTGCAGCTATCCAGAGCAGTGTTTAAAAAATAAGTAACTCCAGGCCTCTTCCTGCTGCAAAATAATCTAAAGTAACTTCCACTGGCGTCTGAAACAATATTGAAGTTAGCTGCAGATCCTATTTTTGTTGACATTATCTTCACAGCAGCCAATAAAAATGTGTCTCTTGGCCTCACCGTTTCTGTCTCCCTTCTATTGATCATGTGTCTATTCCCTTTACCCGTGATTACGCGACTGTCTGCCATCAAGCAGAAGTGATAGTAATTAATTAGACCTTTGGAAATGACCGTGTGTCTGTGTCTTCCTTAAAGTCGTCATAGGAGGGGATGCGTACTACCGGACAGAACTTCAGAATGCATACAAATAAGTTTTGTTGGGGTGTTAGTGGAAGCAACATGGATAGCAGAGCATATTATTAAAAGCTGCATAGACTGATGCGCTTGTATGGTCAGATGCACGACAGTCAGTTATGTCAAACAACGATATTTGGTTGTAAATAGCAAGTGATAGAGAAGTAAGTTGGTGTAAAATACATTTGACTCAGGTATACACAGTTCCTTACTAGCTTGTCACAGGACACGTTTGGCGCTGAGCAATTGCCTTCGCAGATGAGCCAGTGTAGGACAGCCCAACCGCTTGCCTGCATCTCTTTACCCATTCCTTCTTTTCCACAAACCGACATACCTCCATGCATACACTCGTACGTACTTACGTATTCCCAAGGATGTTGGTGCCCATCACATTACCCATTGCACACAAAATCTTCTGCAAGATTAGCTCTATGCATTTATGAGAATCAATTATACCCACTGACTTTGCAAAGCATATTCATCCAGTGGTAGTTACTTATAGCATCCCCCTTTTCCATTTAGAACCAAACTAACAACAGCCAAATATATGATGATCTGTTCTGAATTGGTGCGGTGATTTTACACCTAATTTAGCTCTGTGTCCAATGACGCGGGTGCCTCAGCTCCGTAACATCACTCCTTGAATATAATTGTATCTTCCAAGCTCCTCTGTACATTAATAGTGTAATATTCTACACTGCTATGATGTATTAGGACTTGGAGAAGAATTTGAGACCAATATATCTTTTAACTGACGCCAAATTGAAGAAAACTTTCTTAGTATTACATGGTATCCGCCGATGCTACGATGTCTGATTAAGTCGTAGAGGAGGAATGTATTAAAGCACTAATGGGAATGCTGCAGCAACATTGAGAGATTCAACTAAGCTGGCCTTAATTTAGTGACAGTTGGCGGCATGTCAAAGCCATTCTCAGATGCCCTTATGACTACCACCAGCATAATCGTTCGATTTAAAGCAATACCTTGTGCTAACGTTAGCAGTGTAATTGCAGATACATCATAGACGCAGTTTGTCATTAACACAGAAGTTCCATTTCGAAGTAAACGGAATGTAGTAACAAAAATCAAAAGAATGTATCAGATCAAAACTTAAGCAAATAGATATAGGTAAGTGGTCGTTACTTATTTTAAAATAAATGACAGTTTTACCGTTCACGGAAAAGGGTGGCAAAACCAATTCAAAAAAATATTTCACTTATAATGATCGCAGACATTTGCAATGGAGTTAGCGCGGGAAACTCCACCCAGATGTAAACGGAGTACAGTAGGCACGGAAATTATGATCTCAACGAATCTAGAGAATGAGGAAAGGAAGGCAAGCTAATTCCCAAATTTTCACCATACACTTACTGTCAACATCATGTAATACTCTGACTAATTTCGCTGTCTTATCAGCATTCAGAAATCCATGAGAGCGTAGGATTGTGTGCAAATTTAAAAGTATCTACCCGCAATGAATAAGTGCGGAAATTTTTTGCATTCTCTTGTAATTATTTTTTGAGGACAAGAAACGAAGTGCATAATCAAGTAAACGCTATGCACAACGAAGTAGGTGGAGTCAAAATTCGTACAGACTGCTCCTCCAATTAGTGACAAAGAACTGCATTAGATCTGCAGGAATGCTACGATCAGCTAACAAATATGCCACAAGTATGCACAAATAAACATGTGGAGCGCACACATCAGTAATTCGGACATGCGCCAAGAGAAAGTGGATGCAAAGGGAAGGCAGGAATTGAAGCCTCTTGATTAGAAGTCGTGACTACCACCTTAAATGGAAATCAACCTGGCTTATCAACCAGCATCTGCCGCGGGAATTCCAAAGGGATAACAGGCAATGAGGGCGAAGCATCTCATAGGACGACTTGAAATGTTATGAAATATGCAGATATGGCGTGATTGTTAAGAGTACCCTAGGTAATAAGAGCTTTATGCGAAAGCAATAACGGAATTCAGAGCCTGTGTGCAGGCGAATTGGTGCTCACTGGTGCATTTGTGTGTGGACGGTAGAAAGTAAGTAGAGGGAGGTCAAGATGAACTGAAGAGAAGAGGTTGAGGGAAGAACCGTAACATGGACAGGTGTATAGTAGAACATGCAAGGAGGAAGATGCGACAGGATAGAGAGTGCAGACGAGCACATATAAATGAATACGCGATGGTGGTGATGAGGAAACTGTCCGGAAGGAAGCAAGTGGAGCCCGCGTTTGTGCTCCTTCTCCTGTGTTATGAACTCGTCGAATTCGCGTCACACATGCACAAACTTGTTTGCAAAATTACTCAGTCAACGTCAGTTAGGCATTTTTTTGCAAAATATCAAAACGGAATGACTACAACAAGCCACTGTCACCACTGTCATCTCTCTTAGCCGCCTGTGTTGTGGACGTCGCTACTTACCAATCAGACTTGACAGCTTCCGATTTGGCTCCACCGTCTTCCAGCTCCATCGGACCTGTCGTCATTCCACTCATGTAAGCTCTACTAATTAGGTGATGTGCTCTCCTCTCTACCAGTTCCGATTACACTATCTGGTTTCAGCCATTCTCCCATGACTGTTACATTGTACCAAGTTTGGTGGATGTTTCAGTACTGCTCTTCATCTATTGGTTTATCTTTTCTCATTTTCGTGCATTTAGGGGATGAGAACATTGACTCCTCTGAATTCACAAGAACCATGATAAATCAACGACGCTTGCGCTTCATTGGAAGACGTGCTTAGCGCATCAATTAATTGCCATGTACTGGAACATGCCTTCGATCCACATAAGTAGACCTTATATTGTGTCAGTTGACCTCAGTGAAGTTGGTACGTTTAGACTTCTATTCAGAAACTGACAAGAGGTTCGTATTAAGTTTAAAAGCAGGCATTTCAATAATAAGGTAGAACTGTGGTTATGATGAAATCAATTGAAGTGGACGCTTATTTAAAAGCAGGATAGCCTGAAATCCTAAGATGTCGATATATTATTTGGCATGCTGCCCTCTGTATCATCGGTATGAGTTACATCACTTTTTACTGTAACAGAACTTAAATGACTTCTTCAAATGGCAATCTTATTCCGTAAATAAAGCAAATGTATTTCTCTGTGACTTAATTTCAAAAATGAGACAGTGCAGTGCGGCTTATGGCATTGGTCGATTAGAGCGGTGAATTCCGCATGAAAGCAGGAAATCCAGGTTGTGTGTCATGTTAAAAAGAATCATTTCATCGAAGTGGAGATCTCATCTATGGTGCTGTTGATGATGAAAAAGATAGCGGAAGCGTACATGAGTGGGAATTCGACAGATGCAATTGTAGCAGCATTGGCGTACTACAGTAGCAACCAAAGTCAGCCGACGATAGAATGTGTTTGGTATAATCAGTGAATCTACAACAGTTTCGACAAATAAGTCAAATGGTCAACGCAAATGAAGGAAGATAGGAAAATAGGGAAGAAATGAGGGAAAAGACACTTGCAAACTCAAACCATAGCCTCTTTAACTAATGCAAAACGAGGAGGTTAGGCATCTTGTTTGCGGTCAAAATGGCAAGTTT